AGATGGCTGCGGAAGTTAAATTGTTATTTGTATGCCAAACAATCGATGAAGAGACTGCCTTTGGTGTTTTTAGCCTTTCCAAACGTATTTTCTGATGTGTATTTGTATGTCAATGCAAGAATTATGCCCGGAGAAGACTGCAAAACACATAAAATGGGGACCACGTTAACTGACCTTCGCAAATATCTGCAAATATTAAAGCAACAGCCCGGAAGGAAATGCAAAACTGCTAAGGTAAGCTTAAGCTTTCACTCAAAAGCTGTTATTTACGAATAGTGGTTTTTAAACCTAGTCATCTTCTCTCTCATTCTTTCCATTAGATAAGTTTAAGACTTGATTCGGTTTAATTGTAGTTCTCCAAGTGTCAGAAAGCACACGTGTGCCGTCTTTTTGAGCAAAAATATCTTGACGCCACTGTTTATTTGAGTTAGTAGCTTGCAAAAAGAAATTTCGATCCTATTAAGTGATGATTTTAGACAACAAGTAAGAAGTTAAAACGTACTTAACTCTCCGTCTCTCCAGACATTATTAGCTTACGACTTTTTTTCGCACCAATTTGCACGTGTGCGAATATCACATCTGAGAGGCTAAACTCAATGAAGAAAATGTCACCTCTTCATGCAAATTGATTTCATGCACTACTCTGTAATACATCCATAAATGTTGGTCAACTGAAACAACATTTGCTACTCGATGAATCAGACTACTACATGCTATTCCTTAATATTATTTTTACTGGCGGGTCTAAAACACAGGTCACAGGTCACAGGTTATGCATTTATCAATGTTAAGCTGCTGGCAGGGGAGGGGGCGGGGGGGAGAGGCCAGGCAAAGGCAGGGGATTTGAACTCTGATCATCTTTTCAGTTCAAATGCCCGACCCCATGGAAATTAACCTTGGTCAAAAGAGTGCAAACTTCCTATCCCAGGGATACCAGTGTTGTTCAGAAGAATGCAAATTCACCACCTCTGTCTAGAAAAAGGCATAGGTATGTCAAAAAAAGAATTAAACATCAAAAAGTTGTAAACAAAAGGCTACAAAGCAACAACTTCAAAATGAAACGTCTTTTTAATATAAAAAAGTCACCTAATTTTTATATTAAAATTGTGATGACTCCCTAAACATCTACGACTAAACAAGACAGAAAACATGGAAATTCTTATCACCACTAATGTCCTACACTATTGTGACATTTTAATTACTTACATTTTAAACAGAAATGATGGAAATAAAATGTTGACCTCTTTCTGT